AAATCACATCAGCCGTCAGAGGTGGGAGAAGTACTCAGATCTGGTACTTGAGTAAAAGTGAAGTACTCAGATCTTGTCCTTGAGTAAAAGTAGAAGTACTCAGATCTTGTACTTGAGTCAAAGTAGAAGTACTCAGATCTCGTACTTGAGTAAAAGTAGAAGAACCCAGATCTTGTCCTTGAGTAAAAGTAGAAGTACTCAGATCTGTACTTGAGTACAAAGTAGAATACTCAGATCTTGTACTTGAGTAAAAGTGGAATACTCAGATCTTGTACTTGAGTAAAAGTAGAAGTACTCAGATCTCGTACTTGAGTCAAAGTAGAAGTACTCAGATCTCATACTTGAGTAAAAGTAGAAGTACCAGAGTGTAGGAATACTCTGTTACAGACATCACCATACGCACACCTGTAACTAGGTCAACAAGAGGAGACTGCGTTGTTCCATTAAGGAAGAGTTCGTTCAGCCAATCTTCATTTTCCGTAAAGCTGCAGAACCGTGAAACTCAGTCCCAGTTACGATTAGAGAACAAAACACCTGCACTTTATTCAAATCTTTGTGAATATCTATTTTTGTTTTGTTTGTTTTTATATATGCTTTTATCATAATATAAGTATCTATGTTGAATGTTTTTTTACTGATTGTATTTACCTGTCATTTGAAGTGAATTCTTTTTTTAGGATGACTTTCAACATCTTTCCAGGGACTGCAAATGAAAAATAGCCTGTTGGCTAACTCTGGCGCATTTACAGAAATGTTAATCAATGTGCACTGTCCCTGTCAAATAAATACATAAATACAATTTAAATTAAAAACAGTAAAAGTAGAAGTACCAGAGTGTAGAAATGCTCTGTTACAGTAAAAGTCCTTCATTCAAAATGTTCCTGAAGTAAAAGTAGAAAAGTATTATCATCAAAATATAGTTAAAGTAGCGACAGTAAAAGTAGTCATTGTGCAGATTTGTCGATTTTAGAATAATAAATGATATGTGTTATAATTACTGATGCATCTAAGTGTTATCAAAGCTGGTATATATATCTAACATAATTAATCAAAATCTGTAAAGTAAGTAAAGCTATTAAATACATTTAGAGGAGTAAAAGTACACCATTTACCTCTGAACTAGTGGTGTAGAAGTACAAAGTAGCAGTAAATACTAATACATACTAATAATAAAACTTGATTTACCTTGCAGGCTCTCGCCAGCGTTTGAGCCAGTTGCAGCAGTTCGCCATCAGACTAAACATCTCAGTCCATATGATCCAATCCAAACCTCTGTGTTTATCCAGCTGATCGATTAACGTTATTCAAAATCAAATCCATTGCATAGATACATAAATCCGTGTCTAGCTAAAGCTAAAGTAGCTAACGGTTTCTTGTTAACTCGTTTGATTTCAATCTAAACACACGAGTGAGTCTGTTACTACGCAGATTAGTAGCTGTGCTCACTCATAATATAAACCAGTCTTTGATTTATAATCTAAATCAGATATAATACGTATTTTACTCACGAAACAAGAGCTAACGGTACTTAGCTGACTGCTTTGTTTACGTCGTCTTTTCTGCTGCTAGGCTGCAGGCGTGCTGACGTCATCTGATCAACCAATCAGCGGCCACCAAAGAGATGCGGTTGTTGAAAGAACGGCTTCTTGTGGACATTTAAAGAACCTGCAGTTTAAAATGTTTTTGTATACACATACTCAATTTGCAATGTATGCCATGATTTGATTTAATGTATAACACACACACACATATATATATATATATATATTATCATTCTTCATAAAATGAGCAATTACTACCACCAAATCCAGTTGATCCATCCATCTGATGCAGGTCTTTTCTGTCTCTTTCTGTTATAACTCTCTTATCATCAACAACACATTTAACATTTTATCATTATTTCATATGTTCTGAGCATTTTTTTGTAACAGTAGGCTACATATCATCTTGTGAAGTCACTTAAATTTGAGGAGGGAGTGTTTTTTTGCAAAACATTCCCAGTTCAGGTCAACAAGGACTAAAAGCTGTTTCAACTCAGGTATGATGAGATACTGAGATAACGCCACAGTAATTTCCTTTATTTGTAAACTGGGATCCAGCTGTTAATTGGCTGAATGGACAGTTATGATGCCGTTTTCTTTTTGGCTCCTATTTACTAAAGTAGTAAAGATGTGCTGAACTCATGAATTAAGTTTAAGTGCTGTCCTCTGCTATTGTCGTTGCATGGCTTTGTAATATTCCTGTTGTGTTAAGTGGGTTTTAATGGGACCAGCGGTGCACATCTCCATTGTATTCTAGTTGATTAATGATTGAATATTGTTGGTTTCTTTTTCCCCTTTAGTTTACGGCCCTCTGTAAATATAAGAGCCATGTTTTATAGTGTATTTAAATCACATATTTAGGTCATTATTTGGAGTTATAAATACTATGTTTTTTCCATAATAGCATATTATTCACTCAGGTTGTTCACTTTAACATTTAATTGGACACCTAATTACTTTTCTTTAGTGCCATCTCATGGATATGTATATTAATCATAAAAAAGAAAACATTCATAATAATTACAATAGTACATATATATAATAAAAAACGATATATAATACAAATAATAATGACAAATTGTGTTTTTCCTCGTCGTTTTGGCGCCCTCTGCTGGTTTAACTATAACTTGTTCACCGCGCATGCGCTCTTTAGAGGGATACAAGCATATGCATGTCATACGATTTACCCGGCTGCAGGAAGTACTTTCTCAAACCTGCTTCAAATAAATCGACGTGTCAATATCTGCATCACATTCCTGGTAAGATAACACTGCATTTGTGTAATTCTACACGATATATTATAACGCTTTTAGCTGCTTTGAGTTGCAAAACCGTTATGTGCTTCAAACGTGCTGTTTCCACGGTCATCGTCCATTGAATAGGATGCAAATTTACTACTTATTGCAAGGTTATAAAAGCCATGTTTTACTTTCGTTTGCATTCATGCATGTGTCACCGATGCATGCATTATGTTAAGTAGGCTACTGTAGAGCCGATACATGGGAGTCGGAGGCGGCGTGTTTACACAGAAAGGGAGGAACAACTTCGTTACATGCTACTCAAGCTAGAATGATAACAAACCACAGGTGGACTACCTAACAGGTCCGTGGCGCAACACACTCTCTATAACACAGTTAATTATCTCCCACCACACACTATCTTTATTTACTTTATGCTACTGGCAAGCTAGTCCCCTACATTTCTACTACATTCATTCAGCTTTGCATCAATAATAATCCAAGAGGTGTACGTTTTTACCTTTACCAGATGCAACGTTACACTATTGAGGCTTGAATGCCTTAATAACTATAATCCTGTTATATTATAATATTCTGAATTGTCGCATTATTAGTTGAGGTACTTTTAACATATATTACTACCACTTTTCACACTTTTCTATTTGTAAGATCAGTCATTCTTTCTCCACATACTGAGCTGTTGAATGACCTTTCACATCTTCACTGATTTTAAAACTACAGTGTGTTTTACAGATAATCTCTGACAGTGAATTGATTAGTGAGCCGATGTACTCTGCGGTAACAAAGTCCAAAGAGCTTCAATAAAGTCAGAGACACTTCTGCATCTTAAACACCTGCTCAAAACCAACATGAATTATGACATTTCTCTTTTTTTGTTACCTCTATTCTATATGTTTTCGGTCCCTGAGCTCATTGAATATTCCAGTATTTCATGCTGCAAATCCTCACGTGAGCTGTTTTGGACATGTATTCTCTTTCACTTTCCTTTAGTATCTCTTGATGCATTGCTGAAACGTGTTTTCATATCATTATTTAACCAGATAAGTAGCATTAAGATTAGAAAATGTATTTCTAAAGGCAGCAGCAATCATGGGATACACAAGCATGTAAAGCAGTTTTACCATATTTCATATAACATACACACAGAATCCACATGCTAGCAAATGTATCCCAACTGTAGCTGTGAACATGACAGGATGTGTGATTACCTAGAAGAGCATCAGGACTGTTTGAGGCATATGATAGCTATGTGATTAACATGATGATTCAGCCTCTATGGAGAGAGACATATGACAAGCATGATCATTTCTGACGTGGAGCTAATCTGAAGTAAACATTGAATACTGCTTTCTATTCCTCCATCTTGTGACTGTGGAACTCCCTCTCTTGGATATCAGCATGTGAAGGACACTGTTCAGGAACTAGTTGATGCTCTGTATGTGATGACTACTTCCATTCTGGAGAGGATCACAGATACATGGATCCTTAATATATATATTTCTAACAATATCCTTTATTTAACCAGGTCAAACCCCATGGCTCGTGTCTTCGTCTACGGCACCCTGAAGAGGGGCCAGCCGAACAATTACCGCATGTTAGACGCCGCCAACGGGAAGGTGAAGTTCCTGGCGTCTGCATGCACCGCCCAAAAACACCCGCTGGTTATCGCCGGCAAGCACAACATCCCTTTCCTCCTCAACGTCCCGGGTCAAGGTCACCGGGTCAAGGGCGAGATCTACAAAGTGGACGAGAAGATGCTGAAGTTCCTGGACGAATTTGAGAGCGTTCCCACCTTGTATCAACGCACTGAGGTCAAACTGGAGGTGGAGGAGTGGGTCGGAGAAGAGGAAAAGGAGAAGATGGCATCAGGAAGTATCACAGAAGCGTTTATTTACAGCACGACTTCACACGAGGCGGACTGGCTTTCGCTGCGTTGCTACGAGAGCTACGACTCAAAAGGAGATCATGGGCTGGAGTATCATATTAAAGAAGCACGAGACTGATTTCCGTGGGATAATCAGAGCAGATCTGGAGGCGATAGTTAAAGAAATCCACTGTTTTCCTCACTTCGACCTCTAAGAAAAATCACTTACTGTATTGTGAACTCCTACGTCGGTTTCTAACTTGATTCGTTTCACTTCTTTTTAACCTAATATCAGTAGAAAAATGTTTAAAACGTGGTCAAGTTTCTACGGTACCTCTATCTGCAAAAACAACTGGCTTTTTAGTTGATCAACATGTACTGTAGTGCAGAAACACAACAACATTTGTGGATTTTTTAAAGTCAACAGGGTGCGTTTCACTTCTCTTATTTTTCATTTCCTCGGTCTCGGTATCAGCGGAAGTTGATTTGTCTGCGCCATCTTGAGTAGCGTCCCAGTGGCCTTATAGAGTGGCGAAGTCACGCCCATCTACTTCTGACCATTGGAACCTTATTTCTGAAATATGATGCATTGAAGTCAATGGAGAGAGAAAGATTATCTCTCGATCCCGTTTGAATTGTGACACGAATTACACATATGATGTTTGTCAATCTTAAAAAATAATTTACATGTCAAAAAAGTCAGTTTGTCGTAAATCTGTTGAAATATAAGACTATGAAAAATACGTAAATAGAAAGAATACAAATCCCAGAGACCCGGTCCCGCATGCTGGCTCTCACGGAACAGACTAACTCCCCTTGTGTGTGTGTACAGCTCTCAACATGCCCAGACTTGGAGTGATTTACCTCTTTTAATACTTTCCGCCTCGTTCTGAAAGAAAGAAGTGAAGTGTTCCAACGTGACGGCCGTCTTGGTGTGTGGTGCGAGACGGGAGATGTAGTTCATTGAGCGGCTTCACACAAAAAAAAGTGTTTCTTCACAGTTTTACAACTTTTTTTTGACTTTCAAAAGTATCTTTTAAATTGACAAACATCATATGTGTAATTCGTGTCACAATTCAAACGGGATCAAAAGATAATCTTTCTCTCTCCATCGACTTCAATACATATTTTTTCTAAATAAGGTCCCATGGA